TTCTGTTAAGTTTACGTTGAAGTGCTGGCGTCGGGTCGCGTTTAAGTTCTTCGTAGGTTTGTTTGTCGTTGACAAGTGTTTAATTTTTAGTTTTAGACTTTATTACAATTTCAATGTTTCAGAGTTGGCGTGATGCCCTCTAGATGTTGCCGACGAAATAATATTTAGATTTAAATTTAGAAGCGCGTCCATTTTGTCGAAGTAGTCAGCCTTCTCCATAACAACAGTGACATGTCCTTTGTCGGCTAGTAGTACAACAATGTTGGTGTCGTTTTTCATTCGTTTCAGTACTTGTTGTTCGTCTTTTGTCAAATTATTGTCAGGTATAGAGGCTGATTGTACCGTGGAAGTAATTCTGCTTATGAGTCATGTTTTACCAAGACAATCAGAATGGAGCTTAAGTACAGCACGATCTTGACTTCATGTCACGAACGATCACGAAACATGTAAATAAAGTGAGTAATAGAGAGTCCACCAAAACGAGTGCTGGTGGAGTGAGTGATTGACAGAAAATCAGCCCTGATAATCCTTCAGAGCAGACAAATTACTTCATAAGCCCATGAAATACCTTCATCTACACAACATTGCAATAACAATTATAAGACTCGCTAAAAGTTGAGTTTAAGCCAAATTATTTCCTTTACATTCACTTTCGTCAGAAATGTGTCTCTTGCTAGCCTGTATCACAGCCTCCCTCTCCGAAAGAGAGATCGAGGGCGGCTGTGACACAGGCTAGTCTTTCGCTCGATAAGCTGTTCTTTTACTGTGCAAAAACTGCTTCAGTTTTTATTCAGAACTGACCTTCATCGTCGGTCTCTCTTTGTGCTACCAAAGTGTCTAACTTCTCACTCATGTTCGCTATCTCACTTTTCATCTGTTGAAGTTTGTCTGAAAATTAACGTCAGCTTTCGTTATCATTGCCATAGTTATGTCAAAATATAGATAGAAAAATATCAAAGTTGGAAATTATCAAATTTCTGCCAGTTTGAACATGCAATAATAAACAACATTAGTTGCTAAACAGTCATCCCGTCGCTTTTTCCGTTTGTTTATTAATGTATTAGTTGCTGTTCACTGTTTAAGTTACAGGAGAACCTTTTTTTTCCTTGCCTAGTGATAGAATCTCTATACCTCCAAGTATCTCAATTGACGTCTACTGACCTTCATCTAGGAGTGATTCCAACTTTTTCACTTGATTTCTCATTTGCTCGAGTGTGTCTTTGAGGTTTTCTGCGGTGGAACAAAAGTCAGTTTTAATTTCAAACTTATACAAGTTGCTCTTTGCACTCACGTTCAGTTTAACCATAACTTTATTTTTTGGTTTCCTTTATTTTGAGAACTGTTGAAAACATTGCTTAGTATTTAAAGCGATCATCATACAGGAGACAGATAAGTTGCCAGGAGATTATTATCAATTTAAACTTCTTACTTTTGGCATAGCCTGTTAAGTAACCTTAAGGGAAACTTGATTGGTGGCATGAAAACAATTGTTATTGGTGCCTTTGATTTCCCTGTCAGTTAACACGTGGATGAAGAGAAAGCAGTCAGCTTTCGTTTTTAAAAAGTACCAATTATTTAAAACTCTCTGTACTTGACTAAATTGTCAAATTCCCCATACCCAGGCAACCCTTTGCGATCAACTGTCCCCCGGAGGGGGTGGCATATGGCTGGGCTTGGAATTAACAGAGCCATTATTGTTTTGAGTAACTGATTTACAGTAAGGACACCCAAACCGTGAACACTTAAAATTTTTTTTGTACATTTTTTTTTTAAGGACTGCAGAAAAAAGGCTCTTCGTGTAATGTATAATGTTAGCATTTCTCAAGTGTAAAAACACTAAATAGAAACCGCATTGTATGGTCACTAAAAAAATGTACAAAAAAAATACCGTGTCGTCACTGTAAGTATCAAGTTATAATGGCGCTCTGCTTTTACACATAAGGTTTAGCTAAATTTATTTATACCATGCCATAGAAAATACAGCCAAACAGGATACAGGAAAGCTGTGGTATATTTGACGGTAACAAATTCAGCCTTCCCATGCGCCGCGCGTATGTCACATTGATTGTGTCCGCCACTGTATTTTCAATGGCGTGGTATAAAATAGTTATGCAACGCTCTCTCCTGGAATACCATGGAACATCCCACTAATGTAGCTTGTATTTTCTAGGTATATTACACGCTCGCCTTAAGACTAATGTAACTTGTATTTTCTTGGTATATTACACGCTCGCCTTAA